AGGCGGCGCAGTTTATCGACGGGGGGGCATTTTGCTTTCCATAGATGTGTCGACCCATCTAGGTAGCGTTTTCTTGAGTTGACACGTTTTGGGATGGTGGCTAGACGATCCTGCTCCAGCTTTACAAGCGTTCACAAGTTTTACCAGTGAGATTTGCAAACCGGAGCAAGGGAAGCAGTGATAGTACAAAATGCCCCCCCCGTCGATAAACAGCGCCGGCGCTAGCTACCTCTTGCACGTTTCCTTATACTTAGAGCACACTATTTCATGGTCTATTCAGAATATTCAGGATCAGTATGAAAAACTCACATCAGCAAACTCCTTGCCTATCAGTTGCACAGGAGCGATCCGTTCGACAGTCACTCGATCTCCCTGGATTCAAAATTATAAGGAGAGCGATAAATCAATTCTACAAAACTGTGGGAACTGCCTTCAGTCGTTTTCGGTGCAGACGCTGGGGCGTGTCGGTCAGAGGGGGGAGGTGGAGCGGGTTGTGTTGTTCTCCACCAATTGTTGTCGCTCATCCGTTTCAATAATTGGTGGAGAGTGGGCTGCCCTTGCTCACAAAGCCAGCCCCCAACACGCCACAACGTCTACACCTAAAACGACTGTACGTATAGAGTAGATGAAATATAAGCGGATATCAGTTTTGAAAAAAAAATCTGAAATTATGTACCTGCTTTGGTTTTCCAGCCAAATCGTGATACTTCCGACGTCTCGCATAGTAAGGGAAATTCTTATGATCCAAGCTCATCAGACCGGTTTTGTCGTATCGGTGACCACATCGGCATTTAGTATTGTGAGCGGATTCACTTGGTACCTGAAAGGTGTCACTATGAGGAACAATGGTTCTGAGGACATACTAAGGGCTTTATAGAGCTCACAATAAGAACAGCACTTACATAGACATGTAATGCGCAAGAGTTCCTCATCAGGTTGCAAACCGTATTTGTCCACGAAATCTTGAAAAATAAACGAATAGAAATTTTATGGGGTTACTTTCCGTATCCGAAGGAACAGTACACGCTGATCAGATGGACGAGGTCGGACCCTATTCGTTGGAACGCACGCCCCTCGTTGTTTCCGCACTATAAATGAGGAGTATACGAAAGAGGAAGGCTTGTTGGTAGGTTCAGGCCCGCCCACATGATCAGCGTGGACTGCCTGGGGTAAGCGACGACGTTGACAATTTGTTTTTCAAATTTGTACAAAACAGAAAGAACATACATTGCTGATCCCATTTACTGGTCCATTGTTTGAATTCTTCACAACTCATCGGCCAATGAGGTTCCGATTTGCACAGCCAGCACCAATGGGATTCACATTCGGGGCAAACGCAAGACGTGACGTCTTCTGAAATCAACGTCTTTGATAACCACTGATAGCAACTTTTACTACTACCTTATACTGTTTCTAAAGAACACTGGCAAAAAAGGTCAGAGAGAAAAATAAGAACCATTGGAGGAGGAGATAGTCACTTCAACAGCGCATCGAGGACATTCGGAGAAGACCACGTTGGGATCGCGAAGCCGGCAATAGTATGAGTAAGGACATCTGAAAAAAATCCTAAAAATAGCCAGTGAATAGATATGGAGTTGATCATGAGCATGCGGTGAAGACACACTAGACGCCCGGGCGAGAGACCAGGCGGCGAAGGGTACATGAGCGCACACATACGGTTAAGGTCGCTTTTCTTGAGGGCGTACATACTACATCCGGTGGGAAGACAGGGCGTAGCGCAGGATATGAAGTGTAGGTTGAGACTTCTTGTTGAATTCAACTTTGTTGGACTGCTTGTCTGACGTCAAAATGTAACGGAAGTAAAGGAATGGACAGATGCAAATCATCGCTCGCAGAGTAAAACATAGGTTTTTACAGTCGCGATGCGGCGACGAGCTGACCTTAACGGAGTCTTAGCCCTCTCTGTGCGGCACTTGCACTGATCGTTTTCATGCTCGAAGAGGCATGGGCAGCCTCGAGCCCCAAGGCCCTTGCGTCCATATTATGCACTTATGAGGCAAGAATGGTGCGGTCATGGCGATCTTATCGCTTATACGCAGCAAGGTTTTGGCCATGCAAGGTGTCATGCGTGATGGTATCTACAAACACGATGAAAAATTTGAACCAACCTTCAAAAGCATTGAAATCAGCGGTGCTGGGACGACCGTATAGAGAAGATCAATATTTGAAAGGTTCTCGTTACATGTGAGCTGAAAGTTGATGAAAATTCAAACAGTTATATACAAATATACTTTGAAAATAATGTAAAATCGACTTTTCTATAAAGGTATTGGCAGTTTATCACCCTCACCCATATATATATTCGCTTCGTTTGTTTGTTTGTTTGTTTGTAAGTTTGTTTGTTTGTTTGTAAGTTTGTCTGTCCGGAAATTCGGTTCGACCTGAAGAACGACTTGGAGAGGTCCGGTCAAGGTGGGGATGGGTAGGTGCATGGGACGAGAATATAAAAGGCACACGTTGACCTATCGGAAGCCCCTCACAGTGGGCGGGGCACTCGCCGAAAGTTTGGGGTTCCGCAGAAAATGTTCATAATTCGCTTCCGGAGCAGCTTAAAGATGGGGAAAAAGGGAATAAGGTTAGTAAGGAGTCGCCAGACTAACTGTGGCAGACACATCCAAAATGGGCGTGGTACTCAAGGTGGGCGGGGCGTACTCAAGGTGGGCGGTGCTTCTCGCAAAATTCAGTAACCCGGTTCGCGAGAGTGTTTGGAAGTCGCAAAAAACTCAGTGTAGAATGTAAATCTGGCGAATATAGGGCACGCTCAAAGTGTGTTGCGACCCGTTCACACATGGGCGAAGCTTGCCCTAAATCGTGGAGGTATTATTTTAAAAGTTTGTAGCTCGGTTCCAGAACCACTCCAGACACCAGAAAAAAAGTGGACTGAGGTCAGCAGAGGGTCGCCGGTGAGGACTGTGGGGCAAAAACATTGTGGGCGGAGCCTGCTCCGAGGTGGGCGGAGCCAGACAAAAAGGTCTGTAAAACGGTTTCAGAGCACTCCGAAGACCGGAATAAAGTGAATTCAGGTTCAACAGGGGTCGCCGATTGAGAAATATGGGGTATACATATTGTGGGCGGAGCCAGCCCGAGGTGGGCGGAGCCAGACGAACATTCTCTAAAATAGCTCAAGAGTACTTCAGACACCGGAAAAAAGTGGAGTACAGAACAAAGGCGGATATCAGTTGAGTCTAGAAATATGTGAAAGAAAATACGCGCGGCGAAGCCGCGCTCGCCCGGCGCAGCCGGGCCGTATCAGAAGGAGGCGCGCCGGCGTTAGCCGGCGAGCCGACTGGTCCTTTATAATGGTATTAGCAGTTAATCTTTTCAGTGCAGTTACTTACCGGAATATTCACTGGAATACGATTAAGGCGAAGTTGATGTACTATGTAGGAGGTAATACAATCCCTGCAACTTGTGCCGTCTCTTGTTTCGAAAAGCTCTGGACGCTTCCAAGACGGGCACCTGGCAGCGTACGGAGGGGATATGCTGGAAGAGGGTGCTTCAGAAACAGTAACCTTTTGCAATGCATTAATGGAAAGAGTAATGATGGAAAACTCCGACTACATAACCGCTCCGGCAGGTCTTTTTAATGGAAACCGACGATCGGAGTGCCTCAAAAATAATCACCTCGGGTTCACTGTTTCCACTGCCATCAGCGTCATTCATGACGTTCTTGAGAAATTCTAGCATATCGTATTCGTTACAACGGTCGGCCTAAAAATTAATTTGAGCACGATTTGATTTGAATTATAGCATTTTATTTGTTCATTCTGTTAATCGCATCATGAAATGTGCTTTGCAGTGCAGATAAGATCGCTCTACATTCACATGTAGAAGATGCGCCAAAAAGAGGATATTGGAGGGTGAAATAAGGTTTCGGGATGATTAGTAGTCATAACCAGAGGTTTAAGCGCCCTAAATATGGCGACAGTGGGAGTAGGGGACCTTTTCCATTTCACTGCTTCATTAGTTCTGGTTTTTGCCAGTGTCACTGGTGGAAGGGCTGTGAGAGGGCTTTGGCCACACCCCCACACAGCCCTTCCACCAATGACGTTGACGACAATCGCCCGCCCCTGCAATAGTGCCCACTGCCTTTACCTTCGTTGCATTCGGAAAAATTTGCAAGCTCTTCTGTCTTTGCTCTCTGTAGCACATTTATCTTATCGCAGTTTCCAAAACGGACCTTCACCGCTAACTCTTCACTGTTGACTTCGGCTGCGAAGAACTCCATATGCTCTGAGCACCGAGATTTCTCCTCATGAACTTCCGACTCCCTAAAAGAGCATCGCTAAGCGATTTGAAAATATTAAGATGGTGGTTGATAAGATCCCATACCTAAGTGACTTTACAGTTCCTACGATATGATGGAAGAGAGACATGAAGTCATTTTGGCGCTGGGCTCGGTAAATGAAAGCTTCACGATCCAAGTCACGCCGATATCGAGCATTTGCGTTGACTCGTACCCTGAATAGGTGATATTTTTTTGAAAACTATGTAAATCGAAGAAAAAAATTGTGTAGTTTTCGAAGAGTTTGAAAGCGCGGTCAATGTTGATCAATTGGGACGAGACAAAGAACCACTTCGTTTTCCCCCTCGGAACGGCACGCCTCTGCGCCGTATCAGAAGGATGGGCGCATGTGGAACGGTCATTGATTGTTTGTCTCCGCCCACTCGATCAGCGTAGACCGTGCCTTGAGAGGTGGGAACGGAATCATAAGTAAGCGTGGATTCCGGCAAATCTACGATGCTGGACCCATTTTACTAGTTAGCAGCTAGTGAAATTTAGGAAAGCTCTACCTGAGAATATGGCCACCTTCCCGTAGCTCCAAGAAGAGAATAAGCAACGGTTTCCTCACAGGTTCGTCCCCACGGAGACGGGCCTGATAAGTGGCATCAACCATGACTCGGTCCTGACCGATCCATCGAACAACAACGCGTTCTTCTTCAAGGAGAGATATCTGTAAAAATTACTGATATCTACGGAGTTTAGAGAAGAGGGAACAACCTATGCCGGTCAAGAGACCCGTATTGCGAATGGTGCTGCATGCGGTGTTGCGAAACGGGAATAACCCATAACGCTACCGCTCGCTGCTATCAGGTGCGGTACTACAAACAGGTCGCCGCAACACGAATCTCCTGACCAGTGAGAGGAAATGACTAAGAAAGAGTCAAAACGCTACCGATTTGGGAAAATTGAAATTTCCTGCAGATACTTTGTTTGGATATCCACAACTTCAAACAATGAGTTGGCATTGGTAGCGGCAGAGATGTCAACCAGATCAGCAGGCCTCGGTTGAGTGCTCTGGAAAACGAAGACGTGTGCAGGGCTCCGCAATCCCGGGATATTATGTCCCACTAACCTCCTCAGAGCATTCTGGCTCCACATCAACAAAGACCCAGCTGTCAGATTCCTGCTCTACGTTTCCAGCCTCTACGTCCTTTGGAGGCGATGAGCTCACTAGGAAATCTCCCAATGTTAGCGACGACCTGAAATAGATACAGCAATGTTATCGCAACTTTTCTGGACTATACACGAGTATTTTTCCTTACCCAGGACTAGATAAGGTGCTCAAGTTGGTCTCATAAAAATGTTCCCGGGTTGTTTACCTTGGAGCTCTAGCAACCTCAAAGGGCTCAGGTCGGTCTCCATCTTCATCATCACTGCATCTCTCACGCAACATATCGTAACCCATATGCCGAGATTTTGTAGCCCACGACCCTTTCTTATTCTCTGGAAAAGTATCATAAGTACTTTAATAGAATACTGAAAGCCAATAGACGTACTTCGCTGAGTTTTCCCAGCCAGCAGACTCAGAACTGGATGAGGTTCGATGACATTAAAGAGAATTCTAGCCGGTTCTACTTCGTCTTTGTCCACTTGCCTACGCTCCTTCAATGTTGCTTGGAAGTGGGAAAGCTGAAAAGAAAGGGAACAAAAAGATTGAGGACACAATCCACACTGACATTATGGGCGGGGCTGGGCATACCATTGCGCCTTTCGCGTTGCGCCTCCTCCATACGATCGTGGAGAGGAGCAGTGAAGGTTGAAGGCAAAATGGTAGGCCTGACTCCACCCATATACTCGCTAAGCCTTTGAAAAGCCCAATAAACCGCTACTCACCTTTAAAGGACTGCACCTTCGTGCCCTCCTTCTGTCCTTTTCCTCTAGCCGAGATCGTACTGATGGTTCCGTTCTCCTTTACATGCACATCCGATACGTCCAGGTTCTGGATGTCATTTAGACCTTCAAAATGAACCCAATCACATGAGAACCTTTGCTACGCCAGCCATTTAATCTACTTGTGCTCAAAAAATGATGAATTGGTCAAAAAGTCCATGATAGAAGGTAGAAGGTAGACACCGTACAGTCTTGTTCGCTGCGGACAATGGTCAGTGAGGCTGAGTTTGGCGCGTCGCCAGCACATTTTTCCCTTTTTTTGTTTAGGCAAGCGGCAAGGCTGTATTATATCATTCCTATCAGTCGTTTTTTGCCATTTGTTATTGCTTACTCGCTTCAACAGCTGGTGGAGTACGGGCTGGCGGTGCGCCAAACCTAGCTTTACTGACACGCCTCACTAACCGCAGCGGACAAGACTGTACCCTGGCCGACACTTATAGGCTGGGTGCCACTAAAAATTCGCCACAAAGGGCTATAAACTCACTTCGCGGTGTGATTACTCGATTCACAACAAGAACCTCGAGATCGGAACGACGATTGCTTTCGAGCAACGTTGGAACGCTAATCTGAAAGGAAAATATTCTTGCCAGGTGGTGTTGCCCACAAGCAGGAATAAGTAAGAAATGAAGCGTGATGGCGAGATCTTTTGACACCATACCTATGCTTATTAACGTTCTCATTAGGACACGTCGCACGTGCAAG